AACCGCAACCTTTATTTGCTTCTACGGTTTTTTATTTAATTGCATTTTGTATTAAAAAAAATATTTCATAATTACAATCGGTTTGAGCGAAAGGGAGTAATATCTGCATAAAAATGTTTAAAATTAATTTAAGGTAGATTATCTTTTAATACGGAAACTAAATCTAATTTGATTTTTTTCTATTTCTCGTCGCTCCTTTGTTTGTATTATATATAATAATGTGAATAACTTTGAACAGATTTGTCATAGTTAAAAAAATATATACCCAAAAAATAATGTAAAATAATTCCTGCAATATTATAAGTTTGAATATATTTTTTTGGACTTAATATTTAGTTTTACAACAAATTAATATTTCATTTTCAACCCTCAGTAGACTATTCTTATTTATTTGAAAAAATAACTTACTTTTCAACCATTATTTTTCTAATCGTACTTCACATTAAACAAATGTAATTAATTATCTTATACATATTTCTACATCAGAGTTATTTAATGGCGGTTATGATATAACTGGATATTTTTCATAATTTAAATATATATAAGGTCGGCTAACATACCTAACATACTCAACTATTATTATATATTAATAACCCATTACATCAACTAGCTCACATTTTTGGCTAAATCATTATAACCATTAATAACAAACGGACAAACATATTAAAGAATATATTGATAGAGATATAAATGATATTCCATAAATGGAATTATGAATTCATTATTCATATAAATATATATATGGTATGGCGAAACTCATTGCTTAAAGTCAATTAAAAACATAATTTCCTTCGGATGGTAATCCATCACAGTCAGTCAGACGTATTTAACAAACCAAAATGAAGTGAGACGTTTTAGCAATTTTTGTAATGTATAAGAAAATATAATAATTATAAATAACACGTACTTCTTATTGGAACACCCTGTATAAGCTTGGTAAATATTTGTTTTAACCTCAAAGCATCGGGAGTAGAGTCACAAAAATTTAACAATAATGATGGAAACGAGTTATTACCCAAAAACTATATAGAGGCGACAATTTTAAGAAATAAAATTACTTATAAATTGTATCTACTTTGACATATAAATATATAAACTATTCATGTCATAAAGAACAATCTGTATAGCTATTTAATAATTCTATGAACTATATATGTAATTAAAAATAACAAGGAATGTTCTAGTCGGATTCCGATTACATATGATTGGTCTCGTCCATCTGATTCAAACCTAATCGTTCCTTATTGTATGATATAACATTTTAATAAACTTCACTATACATTTCTGTTGTAACGGATGTAATTGTAACTAGATTGATTTATTTATATATCAATCAGCAGGTGGGTGGTGGGTTTGTGTTAATAAAATCAATTAGATATCAAATAGGACCTGTTACATTCAACGATTACAGCTAATTTTGTATTATAAACCGTCAAATAAAAAATATATGATATAAATCACACATCGGATTTAATAAATCGTTTCTAATAGATTTAAATGTTAGCACAAGGTGATATTATTTTGATAATATACGTTCATAGGATTATGGCATTTATATTAATTACTCATTGGCACATATCTGTCGATGCTAGATAACGTGTGCAACTTTTTAATTAATACGGTTCAATAAATATTGCGACGCTAAAAATTTTTCGTCTCAACATTCCCATGATTTCAATTGAATAATATACGTCAAAAAGTTTAATGAAGTTCTTAACGAATCGGTACAAAGGAGAGATTTATTGCTACAGTAATGACAGGTGGTTAAATGGGAAAAAACACGGAAAAAAAAAACCTAAAAATTACAGTCCGAGATCGCATTTAATTGCACAAAGCGAGTTTCATATGAACACATAAGGTATAAGAAGCAAATTGGAGCGAGGACAATTCATAACAACCACTGAGAATGATCCAGAAGCTTCCATTTTGATTGATATAGTTTTTCTTTTTCTCATACGTACATACATTGGATATCAATTTTGACGCATAACCATTTTAAGCATTTTATAATTGAGCACGCAGATATGAAATTGCTGAGATATTATAATGTAACGGTATATTTTATATTTTGAGTATGTTTTTTGCTTGATATATATATTTTTATGAGCGCTTATTTTAGATTTATCACAATTAAGTCATACGTTTTAAGGTATATTCTATAACATATAATATATTGCTATATGGTCACATTGCTCATACGCCTAGTGAGTAATTAAAGAATTTGAAATTAAAGGAATTTCGTTTGGAATACGATAGTGACTAAGAAATGATTGCATTATTATCACAATACGAAACAGGATATTTATTATAGAGGTGATAATAATTTGCGGACTTTGAATTTTAGTTTTAGCAAATAGAAGTTTCGTTTTAACCAAGTATATTTATAATACATGATTATTTTAGCACGATAATGACTTGCGTATGTCAATTAGCTCTGTAGATTCATTTGATAGACAATCACTAACGCCTAGAATTGAATTTCACAATAAATCTCAATTTAAGGTTTGCAATACATTTGAGAACATAAAGAAGCCGAACTATAAATAAAGTAAGTACCTTCATAACACCTTGAGTATGAACATTATCAGCTTTATAACACGGTGGTCTATCACCTATTTCAACATAGGACTACTGTTACATACTCTTTAAATAATAATATTAAAAACCATGCTATTAAGCACGCTCAACACAAGTAAGAATAGGAGCCGTTTAATAAGCCTGCTTGTTTTAAGCATGCTTAAATTAAAGCAAACGTTCCAAATACATATGCTTTTTTATAGGCTGCTTTTCTAGCTCTCTGTCAATTCAAACAAAAACATGGATAATCAAACAGATATCCGTATCGAGATGAATAAGATCAGCCCTTTGCTTACAATGCAATGCATCCAGTAGCTTATATTTGGTCGCCAAAAAAATAAAAGAAAGATTATGAATTGGGTCCGTAATTAGATATATAAGATCGGATCTAGAAGACAGGACTTTGGAACAAGTGCTTAATTACTTACCGAAATAAAGGGAGACGATGTTTCATATATTGCAATTGACGGATCGGTAATAGCACGCTTAATAAGCAAACGTGTTTAAACGTGCTTAAAGCATGCCCCTTTGTACCCGCGCCGCTAGTAGCATGCTCGAAAACCGCACGCCTGTCGATTTTAAAGCAGGCTCCAAATAAGCATGCTTATTTTAAGCAACATTTGGACATACATGCTAGTAAACAGCAAGTACTCAATTAAAGCTTGCTTTCGTGCTTGAAATAAGCATGTGTAACGGTAGCCTAATTGTAGAGTATCATTTAAAACTTCAAGAACAATAACTATTCTCGATCATGTGTCTACAAATATCAGTAATAAAGAATTCAAACTTTCTCTAATTGAATCATCATTAAAATAAACTTAAAATATATATGTACATATGTTAGACAATATTAAGTAGTATTAGGCATTCCATGAATCAAATATTAATGTACGTGTGTAACATTATTTAATCTCATGTAAGTGAACCTATGTATGTTCTTATGAGAATAAAGATCTTTAACGATAATTTCAAGATGAATGTAAAGAAATGTCTGAACAAGCGTGTATTTAGTTTACTCTTCCAATATCTTTTTCTAGATAATAGAATTGAAAAGAATAACTACTTAATCCGTTGCTATGATTTTCTGTCTTACAAAGAATGGGATTATGAAAATGTTTTTTTATATCGTTGCAATAAAGGAACTTGATGAAATTTTTATAACATTTGAACGAAGTCGCAGGAAAAAGTTAGTTTAAAAATTTGTCAGAAACATCCATTTTGTTTTTTTTATTTCTGACTTCCGTCTGTGAGGTAGTTTTTACATTGACGAATTATATTTAAATTTTCAAGAACATGACTTGAGTCGTAACGACGCCATGACAAACAAAACAAATTACTTTCTGTCTTCCTCTTGTAATATATTTAATGAATATTTAATATACATATATGAAACTGAAAAAGAGATAAAATAAAAATAAACATATGAACGAGAGACGCGTTTATTGTGTGACAATATTCTTATCAATACGAGTGCCACGAGGGTGTAATAACAGTACAAATCTATTTCATGTATTGCATTAGTTTCATATAATTTACAGTGAACCATTTCGATGGACATAAAGTAAAAGTAATTCATATTAAAACATCGTTGACCTTAATTTAGTTACAGTTATGCCTACAAATGTGTAAGATATGACCGAAATAACTTGGAACCTTTCTTAAGATAATTCTTAAATACAGAACTTATATAAGAAAAATTTATTATAATATAATTTTATCTGAAGATTTAATTACAATATCTAAGATGTGTAGTTTTGATCCTATCTAAACACATGATATGCTCGAAGTGAATTATGTACAATAACACGTAAATAACAAATTTAACAAAATATTTAATCGTATTTGTTACAATGTAATACTTGTGAAAATTTTTATATTAATTTATCCCATACAAACCCAACCCGAATATATTAGAACAATTGCTTTGGTAGATTTTTGACTAACAAGAGATCAAATAATAACATCTCTAATTAAATTTCGCCAATTATATTTGATAACAATATTTTACAAATGCACCTAATCAAGTTTTATATTGCCCAATACAATTTCTACTCCTAATTTATTTTATACAATTATATCCCTATCTATGTGCAGAATGTCGCAAAAAGCGAAAACCATTTTTAAGATCACAATTAAATCTAGGAACGCATTAAACCGCTAATCTATTTTTACACTAATAATTTTACATTTATTCTTGTCATGAAAAAGGATGTTAATATTACAAGTCATCAGAATTATTTCTTTAGTTAGATGATTCGTATTTCATTAAATAGAAATAATAAATCTATTTTATTGAGGCCCTTGTCTAGGCCTTTACGTACAATCATAGTCTCTTAGGATTCGTATGAACCAATGACGTTCACTAAACACTATTCAAAAGGCTGAGGCCATAGAGGAGCTGGCGGCAGCGGATAGGCCGAGGGCTAGGTGGAGATGGAGAGGGCTGACGGTCGATGTGGAGGATGGGGGGCGTGGGAGGGGTGGGGGGAGGTCGCTGATGGGGATCCAGCTCCGGGAGAACAGGTCACCTTCCCCATGAACGAACGGATATCATCGAAACACGCGTCGTGTTCAGTATCCCCGGAACTTGGTGAATCACCACCTTCCGCCTCATGTTTCTTAAGGTGCCGATCTAAGTTAGTCTGCTGCCCGAAACATCTATCGCATAACTGACATCTAAACGGCCTCTCCTTGTTATGAATGTTCCTGACGTGTCGCTGTAAATTAGAGGATATGGAGAAAGAACGCTCGCAATATTTGCACTTGTACGGTTGCTCGCCGGTGTGCGTACGTAAATGACGTGTTAAGTTAGCGCTTCGCGGGAATACTTTTCCGCAAAATTTACAAGCGTAGCGATCTCGCAGTTTACCGGATCCAGCGCTGAGTTCGCGAAATTTTGCGTAGGCACTTGATTGCCTATCCGGGCCGTCAGTGCCGAGAAGTGGCGATAAAAAATTAAACGGACTCGGAACATATGGTGAGTGCTGGGAACTTAGTATGGAGTCAGAAGTCGAATGGAAACGTGTAAAGCGTGGTGGGTACATAGCATTCATGAGACTGTTATTGTGCTGAGCGTGTACAGCCATTGGGAATGCTAAGGGAGGAGACATCATTGATACTGGGGAGTCCTCTCTTTTAGGTTCAACGGCTTCCACATCAACATCGGTTGTCTCATTTTCCGGAGTCTTATTCTCTCTATCAACAGGACTTTCCGCGGGTGAATAAGATTTTACCGATGAATTTCGAAAGGAATGATCGTCATTTTCTAGGTCTGAGTCCTTGTCGCGTTGTTTTCGAGTGACAGATAAGTCGAGCGGTTGGTCATTCTGCTCTTTTGTTTCCTCTTCCAAATTAGAATATCTTGATTGCTTTTCCACATCACTCGACATGCTATTCCTCGTCAAATCTTTCGGTTGAGGAGACATTGACTTATTTTCTAAGGTTTCGTTATTATTTTTCAAAGAAAAATCGTACAGAGAGTTGTGTTTTGTTTCATTTCTTGTAAAGTCAAAGGGTCCAACAGTAGTCGACAGTGGCATAACTGGAGAAGGCCGTTGCTTTGAAGTCGCCTCTTCAGCCGACGGCGGTGATTGTTTTACATAATGTTCCTGAGGTTTCGGTGTTACTCTGTCTACATCCATATCTTTCTCATCTCTGGTCATTTCTTTTGCTTTATTTATCATATCTACAGATGTTGAACTATCTATGCTCTCTGTTTCTTTCTTAACTGACATCCGTTCTTCCTGTTGTTGCTTGGCCATTAAACTGGCGTTAAGTACCAAGTCATGCTCCATAGCTAACCTCGCTCCTTGGACGTTGAAGAGGAGGGGACTTAAAAAGTCTGGAGGGCAAGCTGCGGCAGCGGCAGCGGAGATAAAGGCTGGGTAATGTGCGAAAGTGTTATATGGTAACGGCAGAGCTGGGCCCCTGTACATGGGGAATGGGTTTGTATTATTCGGATTATTCATGACGTTTGGAATAGGTGGTATCTGTGGTAGTCCTTGACCGATTTGTCCTCGGAGGTTAACGTTTGTTGCAGAAGCAGTGTCGCAAAATCTCTTATGCTTAGTAAGAGATGCGTACGACGTGAATGATTGTCCACATTTCCCACACTCTACCAATGCTCTGCACGCAACGTGCATTCGTTTGTGTCTGCACAAATTCGAGAACTGAGTGTATGCCTGGAAATAATAATAACGAAATAATTAGAATTTTTAATACGATAATAATAATTGTAGGATTTTTTTTAATAAAGCTGAATTTATAAAATACCTTGAAGCAGACTTTGCACTGGAAGGGCTTGACACTGGAGTGTATATGCGTGTGCTGCTTAAGGCCGGAGCTGGTGGCGAAGGTTTTGCCGCATTCAGGACAGGCGTGGCTGCGGGCCCCCACGTGCTGCGCGCGGATGTGGCGCTGGAGGTTGGAAGGATCGGTAAATACCTGTAATGACGCCAGGTTTCGAAGGACATACAAAATTTTGAAAGATTCACTTTTAAAAACCTCTCATGATACGACTACCTTACAAAATGTATAATATGTGCTGAATTTAAATACCTTAGGACAATTCTCGCAGGGATATTTCCTTATATCGGTATGTGTTAACGCCCGGTGTCTTAGGAGTAGTGCCCGGGAACTGTACGCTCTGTTGCACAGCTCGCAATGATATGCCGAAGCTGGCTGAGCATGTGCTTGAATCAAGTGACGGTCAAGTCTGTAGAGAAAACAAACATAAATTGTATCAACTATATTTACTTTAATATTTTAAATTAATTCATTTAAATTTCAAAACAGCCCTCTAATACTTGCTATACAAAGCACCGTTGGATTCAATCAATATCCATAATAGAAAGTGAAAAGATAAGCCTAACGAACTGGTATCGGTAAAGCTGCATTAAACGTCTCGGATGCAAGTACAGGAAGACAAAATAATATCTATATCTAAACCCAGGATCGCCTACGCAGACAACTTATAGCCACTCGACTGATACATAATTCAAACATGTTTTCGTCTACACAGAGAATGTTCCAATTCATTTTTGCCATAAATTCCACATGTACGTCGTGTCACAACAATATCATAATACAGGTATGCTTTTACTCATCAGAGTTGTTTTACGATTCAAGCAAAAACAAAAAGTGTGTGATAAAAAAGTCAAATTGGACTACAAAAAACTGAAATATGTATATAAAAATGTATAGTATTGTTTGATATAACTGGACTATCACACGCAACCCTTGCCTCGGGCTACTTACAACATAACACCTGTTTTATATTACGTAAGAATCATAATTGGCCGGATTACACCGGAGCTTAGACAAGCAGAGATTTAAGACCAGAGAAAGGCCGTTTGATGTTGGCCTGTTCGATAGTCCTCTTGTCATGATAAGATGGAACGTTTTCACTCTCGTCAGGCCGCATGTCGTATCTTTTAATTAATCTTTGAAATAAAATCTAATGCTAGTAATGGTTGTATTGCTTACATTACTCTCTTCGTAAGTAGAATTTGTATGGCTTGTAATATACAGTCTACCTCTAATATACAGTGTACAACTTATAGATAGAATTTAATATAGTTTTGTTTTTGAGTTTTAATATAGGTATGTAATATTTATTTATTTAAAATAACTGGTCCAAATTGAAAAATGAATGTGACATTTAAGCAATAGATTTCTGGAACTATTTTAATTTTCTTTTTTTTCTTCTAAAATGTATTTTGAGTTGAAATTTTTTAATAATATGCAAAATTATATTTTTATATAAGACAATATTTGTCAATAAAACAAAATGTTATTTGAATTTTGCTTAGTAAATGAAATCGTTTTCTTGAATAATCAATTACTCAATCTATGTTCTAATGTAAATTAGGGTTTGAACACACAGGAGAATAGTCAATTATACGATGCTGATCGTAGAATTGATCTCATGTTCTTGTATTGATAACATCCAATGAACAACTTTCATTCAAAGCCGATCTATTAACTCCACCCACATACATTCAGATCAGGTAGACCGATTAAATACTATTAACTGCTACTTTTAAGTTTTTTGATAAGAAATCTTCACATATTCTTAATTTAATACTATCGAAATTAAACGCCAATCCATTCATGATTCATATATGCTTCAATTGAAAATAAAATTCATTTAAATTACCTTTTTTGTTAATCAAACAATGTAACTCTGTTCACAAACCAATCAAGTTATATGTTTACATTTTATTAATCTATTGTTAAGTAAGAGACGTAATTACAATCTATATATTTCACAAAGCAAACAAACGAACGACCTTGTTTAGTAAAACTCATTATGACATTATATTAGAGGCAGAATATAACAACTGTATCGAATGATATAAAAAGTATGGAGCATTTTTATGCGTATTAGAATTAATGTTCGAGTAGACATTACGTTTTAATGTCTTCGAGATGTTAATAGAGGTTTTTTTTGTATTAGTATAAAAAACATAGCAGTGTAAATTATAAATTGAATAATTTAGTGATAAATTTTGTTTGTATTCTTTTATTGTTTTGTATTCAAATATCAAATCACGCTGAAATATTTAAAGGTTTTAGAATAAAGGGCTATTAGTGAACCAGTCCAGTTTTAGTCCAGTTTTTTAACGTCAGTACATATTGAGAAAGTTTTTTCTCATTTAATAACATACGTAAATACTTATAACGAAAGATTAATTTATCAAAAGCTACAATTGCATCCTGACATGATAGCATTTAATTTGTGAATTCCTAATCAGTTTCATAAATTATTAATTAGTTGTCTTAAAATATATAAAAGAAATATTGAATTACCTATTACTTATAAAATCCTTTAATTTTTATGATTTTCGTTTCTAAATACATTTAGATTTGTTCGTCTCTGTATAGTTAATGTTTCCAAATATATTGAATGGATTCTTTTGAAATACTACTTTTCGTTGCTATATAGTCAATTTTATGACGTTTAGAGCAAAAAGTATTAGAAATTTCAACGAGATCGTGATAATAACTACGAAGCTGTTTGATGTATTCTATTAACTTCGGTTAAGTTATACGACCAAAATACCTTTCAGTACAAAAAAATACACGAAAATCGGAAGCATAGTACAATATTGATTTAGTTTTATATGGAATTTATTTTACAACATCACATTACATAATAGGACCCTTTCAAGTTATTGTTATAGTTAGATAAAGCTAATAGATCGCGGTTGAATTGTATTTCCGACGTAATGATACCAGTTGTGACAGTCTTCGAAAGTGTATCTGGATAACCACATCCATCAAAATATGATTGTGTAATGACGAAAAATAACAAAGAAAAGTTCACTAAACCTGAACAAGTCAGAACTGGTTTACCTTAATAATTTGTTTAAAACTATTGTTGATATATATTTTATTATATCTTCTACCTGGAAATTTCCCAGCTTAAACCAGGGTCTGCCTTACATGTTGTGAAGAGTTTTGGCTAATTGTTTTTACGACCGGCCGTCTGTCTGACATCAACCCTCTTTGGGTATGCATTAATCAGAGATGTCTAAATATTCTTAGAAAGTACATTTGACTCGAAAAAATCGCATTGGTACTTAACAGGACCAAACCCGCGCCCTCATGCATGAGAGGCGGGCCTTTTAACCACTAGGCCACCACTGACTATACGTTTGACGTGTTTATGTAACTTTTGTGAAAAACATTAATTTTGTTACATTCATCTTAATATATTAAGGACAAGACAATTTTTTAAACTATTTGCAAAATTTTTAAAGTGAAATAAATATTAAATTCTTTAAACGATAATCTTCTATATATATAAAAATGGATTGCTGTTCCTTAGTCTCGCTAAAACTCGAGAACGGGTGAACCGATTTGGCTAATTTTAGTCTTGAAATACTCCTGGAAGTCCAGGGAAGGTTTAAAAGGTGAGAAAAATTGGAATAAATGCCGGGAAAACCCTAAAAACAGCCCTTTTCTATTTCCCATACAAACGATTCTTTGACATTAGACTTGACAACTAACTAATATGTCAATCATTCTGTTCGATTGAAACAGTAGAAATTTAATAAATACCAATACCGGGTTTTGGAGATGGAATAGAGTTTGCCACGTCAGCTATACCTATATTACTAATGACGAAATTAACGCGGACGAAGTCGCGGGCAAAAACTAGTATTAAATAAAATTAAATAATGCTAGACTTCGTTTGACGAAGTATTTGTTAATAAAAAAATTATAAGTCATTCTATTCTTATCATTCCAACCAGATTACCTAACGTAATTTGTAATATTGTCAAAATTATCTACCAAAATTTATTTATGTGTAATAATTGCATAGCTTACATATAGTAATTTTAAAAAATATTACGTCGCGTGCCCGCAACAAATTATCGACGCGTGTCTTATCGAACCGGCACATCACTAGTATGAAATAAATCTTATTTCAGATGGCTAAATAGTAATGGGCACAAGTTAATGGTTTTGAAGACGTATGGAATTGATTATCTCCCGCGGCCTCTTACGGCAGCTCGGGTAGATAAGGAATGAGTTTGAATGAATGAATGATTTGTATCAAATATATCACGGAACGTGAATAGAGATTGATTGGTATGGAATTGAAAATATTTATGAAATATTTCATTCAAAACTGTGACATATTATACGACAATAATAATCTAATATAACGCTTCTCTTAATCTAAAGTATATAGATTTTCAGTTATAATTTTGACAATAAACTGACGCTTTTAGCGGTTACAATGTTGGATGATATATTATGTACTAGCTTTTGCCCGCGACTATGTCTGCGTTAGTTAGAAATGTATAGCTGACCAGGCAAACTGTTTCGATTTAGAGGCAGTAAATAAACAGATTTTGGGTTTAATTAGCAATATTTTTCCCTATGCCCGTCTCCTGATTCCAATCTACTTCGCGACAAAATTTCCAGCCAAATCAGTACAACCAATATTGAGTCATAACAAGTATAACGAATAAGACTTTCTTTTATATATATACATATGTTATTACTGAACTATTTGAATCATTATAATATAACTTACGCATCAATATTAGGGAATGGTTCGTCACAGAAGGAACAGCGTGGTTTTGTGTCCTCTCTGTCTTCTTCGTCCTGTTGCTGATGAGAATGACTGCTGGCACTCTCTCTACCTGTAAAATAAGGTAAAAAATCCTATAAATAATAAAGCATACATAATATTCACCCACAATATATATGATTCATATGATATATAAATCTAGCATCGCCTTCGCTGTCACAAATGTCATAATCATTTCGTGACTAATGCAAGAACAAAAATATCCATCAAAGAAAACATTTGTACATCATGAACAGACTTCGGAAGTGAGATATTTCATTGACACACGCTGAACTAATACGAGTCACGAGTATACACGCCTCGAGCATTGTCTAACATCCGTGATAATGATATCATAGGAATGATATGAAGGAATTATATATATCATTATCATATCGTAAATATAATACATCGATCATATATACTGTAGAGAAAAGAAATTGACGAACAAATATAGAAACAAAGAATAGAAATAAAATAAAATAAAATAGTGCAAATCCGCGTAGCTACCATTTGATATTTTTTCACAATTAGTAATAAATTAAATATAAATAGTTACTAATTGTGAAAAAAAAAATACCTTAAAAATCATGTCAATTTAATAAAGAAAATATTTCAGATCAAACTTGCTTCTGATAATCTGCTTCCAATGGTAGACACGCGGATTTCCACTACCCCCAGCGATGTGTAGGTATATATGTAATTATACTGCTTATAAAATATATAATAGAAATCATAATAATATTATATCAAGGCTCACCTGAACTAAAGGTCAAATATTTTCAAATTGACACTAGCTATAACTAAAAAGTAATTGAGTCACTGAAGGTGAGAGGTCAACACTGTGTATGATGTCAGTTGAACAGTGAACTCGCTACCAATACCACCCCCACCCTAGTAAACACTTGACCCATTCGCATTGGAGACCATGCAAGCGTAACGTGCTTTATGATTCCCTTAATAATATCAACCGCATTATACAGCACTTACATAGCAAATCAAAACTTAATACCTACAGGTGTTAGACGTTCAAATTGAACGACGTTACTGTTTATTCACAAAGAAGCTAAATTGCGACATTTTTCAGAGGGTTTTAGGTTCACTTAATTGAGTTATGAGGCATAATTAAGCCTTGATCATGATTAAAAAAGGATATCATAACCATACTAATATCATAGATAGTAGTTGTTTTAGATTTCTTGCCGTTTTCATAGGAAAACAGTTAATATTGTAGGTAGTCCCAAACGAATAAGCCTCAAAAAAAACATAAAAAACGAGTTCATTTTAACTCGCCATGCTATTGGTTTTAAATTTAGTATTAAAACATTTTTCTAACGACGTTCAAGAAACTAAACATATCTTTTATAATAAACTTTGCAAATAAAACTTAAATGCAATAAATTTTGTTTACTTCACTACTATAAACTACTATAAAGGAATTCAGTGGGAAAAATAAAAATTATTACCCTGTCAAGAACAATAAAACAGATTATCAATAATAACACATTCCAGCAGATTACAGAATTTACACTCAGAATACCGACCGTGCCAGATATAACAGAAAAAAAAACATTGGAATCAGGAAAGCAGTTTTGTTGCAAAAAAAATGCATTGAATTCCAGAATAACTCATAACTTATAACTGATGCAATAAGATATATTACATAAAGTATTGTCATTAATTAAGTTTCTTTATAAACTTGATATAAATATAAAAAAATATATATTTAAATTATAACTGTAATATTTATTGAGTCTTAAATACGTTAAGTTTTCCCACGACATCGCCAAATGGTGTAATATTCGTTAACCGTGACGGTGACTTACCGATGTTTTAAATTAATTTCCCTCCCCCAAAACATCTCACCTGTTGTTTCTCAATATGTTTGATACTTACAACCAGTACTTCAACCATAACATAAAAATATATAGGATAATCTCAACGACCTTCGTAAGGATAAAACGAATGATGAAAAAAGATTAACGGAATTATATCCGACTTTAAAAGATATGAATAATTAGTAGTAACAGATTATTATACGAATATTTGATCAGGTGTTGTTCTAAATACCCGCCAGCTAAAGTCAGGTGCGTCGCCGTTAGGGCCCCGCGGTTAGAGCCGGCCTCCGTTACAGGATGCTGAGACAACTCCGATATAGTACGGTTATTGAGAAATAATAGCTCGGATATAATGTTATATACGATAGTTTTACGGAAGAATTTTTTTATGTTAAAATTATTTTAGCATCGATTGTATAAACTATGAAAATGAAAGTCACAAAAAGATAAACGTTTTAATGTAAGTAATGTTTTTGGATTACAACTCGTATTTTAATGTTTTTAAAAACTACATACTCCCGACATTTCAGTTACTTTGCAGTAAATGTGGTCGTCTTGTCTGTCCGTGACCACGGTTGATGCGAAATAACCGAAACTTCGGGATTATGTAGTTTTTAATAAAAGTAAAATAAATGTTAAATAAATTTAGTTTAATCCGCAAATATTAGTTTCATTGAAATGAATACTCGCAAGATAAAAGTTTGTTTACAAAAATATACATACGCCAGATAAAATTATAGTTTAAATTATAAAAGATAAGAATATTAGAGTTTTCTGATTTAATATCTACCTATATATAAAAGATTTTTGTTTGCTATGAATAGAATTTAATTATCCGCGAAAAGATTATCTATATCTGCATTAGATTCATAACTGTATTATTTCTCATCTGAATCCCTGGTAATCTGTTAACAAAAAGTCGAGACAAATGCCACCGTGCCAGATTTAACCCTTCAAAGAGGGCGGGAATATTAAATTGAAATATTTATATTTTATTGTCCTTAATATTTATTTGATTGTTAAATAAATACGTTATGTGGGACGCCGAGTGATTGTGAGCGCTCGGATGGGGTGAGATCCATTGTAGTTGGTTAATTTTTTGATTAATCATACAATTTGTGGGGGGATCGTTGCAATTGTGTTAACTTTACTATTGCGCAAATGATGCAGACCTAATAGTATCGTATTACGTCTACATATTTATATTATTTAAAAATATATTTTTCATAAGTAATATATGAAATAAATTCTATAAGAGATTTAAATGGTCAAAGTTAAATAAATATTATGCAGATATAGGAAATTAAACGGCAAAATATATTCTCGTCTTTATTCACTCAAGCGAATTTATCTAATATTACCAACATATTTTTATAGAAAAAATATATCAATATTTGTAACGAAGAAATCCTAACATTATTTATAATAAGCAACTGAAATTCAAATATTATGTTATCAGATTTAGAATATATTTTAGGGAATATTAATAGCTGTATACACAAAGGAGCATGCGTCTCGGACAAAGCAACGTCATCAATTTTAATCTGTGCGACAATTGCGCGTTGACAAATGTCAGCGCGCGACACTCATTCATAACACGCACGAATGGACCCAGCCAATGACAAAAAAAAAACGCCAATAAAGGGTTAACTTATTATTACAGACGCCATAGGATTATATTTCAAATATAACATTTAAAATCAATTACACATAATCAAACGTACGACGAATCTTAAGAATCGTCTCGTAATAAAATAGAAAATTTCAATACAGGCTTTCGACTAGATAAAAACAATGATCAATCAAGCTATCAAATGCTGTCATTGAAGCTTTTACTTTCCTAACATTAGGCATTTATCTCGTACAGATGACGTTGGATTTATTAATCCTTTAGAAGTTTGAGTTATCGAATTATTGAATGAAAGGATAGGTAGCCTCATCAATCATGTCTTGTGCAACGCGCCTTGGCCATTATGACAAATACTCGAATCGAGCCACTGCAAATCGGTTCTAATTAGGGACAATATTTAAGAGTCATTGTGGATTCGACGGCAGCTGATGTTTGTTCAGTCATGTGGGCCGTTGTGGCTGATTTGGAGAAATTGTTTTATGTTATATGAGTCGGTGTATCGCTCGTGGGATTTGACTGATTAGTGACCCGATATGTTTTTATATTGACCATTCGATTCAAGGTTTTTGTTTCTGCATGTGAATATCTATCATGAGCTTACGTATGATATACTTAATATTGCATTTGAAATAGATTTATTTGACCTAAATTAGCTAGTTACGAATCAGTTAGTAAAATTCAATCGTGTATGTATAAAAATAATAAATGTTTATGTCATTTTATTCTCATACGTAAAAACTAGTTTATTAATATGAAATAATAGCAAATTATTCAAATAAAATAACTATGCAACTTCTAAGTTTTGGCCCAAAATATGATACTCGAATCACTTGAATTATACACTCGTATATAGACTTAATGTGGCTTATCATTACAACAGACAAGTTCCGAATAATACAGTTAGTGTTTAGTAATTACGGACAATTCAAAACGTATAAATCATGGACAACGCCGGCTGGAGCTCCGGAAGCCAGCGCAGGAGGCTCACGAAGAGAACACATTACATAACTAGATGTGGCAATTGGCTATATATATTACATCATGGTTTGAATTATCAATCAAACTCCACTAGTTTTTTGTACTAACATATATATTTATTATTTTTTATGTTTAAATCAAGTTATATATATAGTTCTATATTAATAAACTCTTCTAGTTGCTAGATATCTGTGTAACTCCCCTTTAACATAACATATGCGTGATTTTTCACATCGACCGTCGCACGTCGCGATTTATCTAAATTAAATATCGCATGCGCGTGTGCCGCCGTGTGTTAGCGCCCTGGGACCAGTTGTATTTTTATATATACAGGGTGTTCCATTTGTCAATAGATTCATTTTTATTATGCGTATTATAAAATAGAATTATGATGAGATTAATATATAAATTCATTCACTCGAAGTTCTTAATATGATAGAATTTTTAATGGAGATACTTAAACATAGATTTTTATAATATATTTTTTATGTGAAAGGTGGCAAACGAGCAGACGGTCTACTTGATGGAAGGTAGTTAACGTCGTTAATATGCTTGCTAGTGGTGTAGGACTTAAAATGTAGTATACCAAACACCCTGTATATAATATTGTGATACATTAACGTGTCGGTACGAGTCACGTGTCAATGCAGGTGACTCCAATTAACTGTTGGAGTCAGTGGAGCATGAACTGTGATTCAACTGTACTAGAGCCTACCCTTACTTCTTAGACCTCCAGTATGACTAGTGTAAACAACCCCTAATGACCATAGAAAAGCTGACGTGTGTGTCAGGCTTAATGAATCAATACGATCCTATGAAGCTAGTGCGGTAAAATAAGTAACTATTCATACATATTAGTACTACGTGAATTTAAAGATGAAATATATGTACGAATATACATAGTATTCTTTTATGGAAATTTGTATACATAAGAGAGGTGTATGAGAAAAACTATTGTATGAAAATTGGTTGCATTTTAGAAGTCAACAATAGTTGTAATTTTCGTCTGTTCATCAATGATTTTTAATCAAGAACCGGTTTCATCAAATATCACACACCTTTCATTTATATACAGAAGAATGTATAAAATGTTTGGTTTTTATTTTCATCATCATCATCAGCATATTAGAGCCCACTGCTGAGCAAAGGCCTCTTCTCAGATGGAGAAGGTTTGAGCATTAATCACCAATCTCGCTCAAGACGGATTGGCGATTTCAAACTTATAATTTGAAATTATATGGTTTTATTTTAGTTTAATCAATTAATAAGAAAGTTATAGCGTTGTTCTACTATATAAGAATTTTATTTTCAATTATATTTTATCTCAATATATGTACATACCAGTTGTAAGAACATCTTGTAATGGTAGTGATGCCCAAGGTCCGACCAATAATTCTTGACCTGCCGAGACGTCTTTCGTCACTTTATACCAAACCTGAAATATAATATGAAAACTATTAGTATATGTTTTAATTATTTAATTTATTATAAAGATTAAGTAAGGTTTAGTTCATTTTAGATTAATTTTATTAGATATTTTTGTGAATAAATATCTATATATTGGTCTTTTTTATTTTTAATAAAGATTTTATAATCCTTAAGTAAGGTTCAATTTGTATTGGACAAATTTTATATTTAGATATTTTTATGAACGAAAATGTTAATTATTGGTCTTCTCTAATAATGGCTAATTATTTATATGTCTTGTATAATACAATTTATATGAAAAAGCATTAGTATTATATAAATGTATGTATTTTTTCCTTTAGAATATTTTTCATATAATAATGTACGCATAAACAAAATACAAGTTGTGTGATGTTTTTTTTTTTAATTTTCGTTTTACAATCAGCGGACATTACATTAGAAAAACTTTGAATAAAAAATTATTTTCATTATTCTTTTGAAATCTATAAAATGAACTAAAAAACATGAAAAATAAAATCAAAATTAGCAAATAGGGTCAAAATATCAAACAACGTTTAACCCGGGAGTGAATCTAATCACCGCGTGTTCTCCCCTGACCGGAAGTGGGGCACAGTTGTTCAACGATTTTCTGTCACCGGAAGTTGCAAACGTTCCACATTCAAATTTTATTGGGGTAGTGACAAAGACGGTATTGTGAGGGTCAGATTATGAACATGATTATTATTTATTAGGAAAAAAATATGTTCTGTAATATTATATAAAAATACATTTAATATAAAAAAAACTTTAAATTAGATCGAAAAAGAAAAGTAAATTATAATTATTAAAATTACGTTATATACAGAGATCAATCAATATAGGTACTATTATACTTAGCCTGAAAAAATAAGTCTCATTTCCCAAAACTTAAAATAGTTAAATAAACTAAGTTCTCGTATAAGTTAAGTTTAAGTTAATCGTACTTGTCCAGCAAACTTTTCGTGTTGCAGATTAACTTCGTGCGGGGAGGTTGCGCAGCGGACCAGCTTGAACCAGTTAGACTTGTCCGCGGCCGCCTCCAGCCAAGAACGGACGCCGTTTTTACCGAAAACCTGAAAGAAAATTAATATATGCCCTTAAAGACTAAACAATGTAACGATATACGTACAAAACATTAACTTTTGAAAAACTTATGTACTAATAACAAATTAAAATTAATGCAACATAATTATATGACCTAATTATTTTATATGTTATATATGGCAAAATTATTTGAGTGTATCTTTATTAAATTTTTAACCAAGTTGAATAAGAAGTTTTATTTGTTAAAGCGCCATCTAGCGTCATATAGCAGAAGCTCATAGTGACTAAGTTCAAAACGCTACACCACTACTTCAATTTGAAACATTTTTTATCAATTTCTTACATTTTATTTCTAAAAGCATGTTGTTCGAAAATTTATGTATATATAACTAAACGGTTTATATTTGATTTAAAACTTAATTAATGAAATTATGATTCTTTTAGAACAAAATTATAATTTATGTAAATAAAATTCTATCATCTTTAATTACTTATTGGCATATTTTTAAATTGACTATACAGCTATAGATGTTAAATAAACCCTATACTGGTAGCGTCATCTTGCGGCACCTGGCGAGTTCTGACAGCGGACATCGCGGCTTCACGATAGATGGCACTATTAGTATCTGTCAGTGTCTGCGGGATAACAGCTTGGGCATTTATCATTGACCACCCCATATTATTTAATTTTCATAGTGGCTTCAGGCAATCTATTATGTCACGGTATAGTTGTATTATTCTGATTCGCCTAATTGACAATAAAATTCGTAGCATTGTTTAAAAATAAGCGTGTTATGCTTGATTAGGTACACATAAAAATAAAAGTAATATTTTCGGATATACCTATTATGCATTTTTTTCATCCGCCCGTGATCGCGGTTGCTGCAAAATAACTGAAACTTCGAAAGTATGTAGTTTAAATTTTTAAAAAACGCGTAGTAGGTACATCCGAAAATATAAGTTTCATTTAAATTAATGCACGCGAAAGTTTTAGATAGCATTATGTAGGTACAAATAAATAAAATAATATCATCTCTCTTTGTGATAATATAGCGAAAAAACTACTGGATTGATTTTAACAAAATTAAATTATTTTATTTTTTATACACTGAAAATAATTAACCATATCTTTATTTAGTAATCTCTAAGGCACAAACATTTAATAAACATTACAAGTTAAGCGTTATATTTCCCTCTACTTCTACTTTGTTAAACTTTAAAAACCGATCAATTCGCGGCCATCAGCTAATATTATAAAAGCTAATATTAAAAGTTGATTAATTGGCTAGTTTAAACAAAACAGTTTACTGATAATATGAAAACAAGGGAGTCAATGTCTACCGTTATGGGAACGAGGGGTGCTATAACCTACAATTTCTATCGGACACTTCAAATTCCCTCTGCATACAATATAAAACATAGCTATATGATTCGATAAACTGATCAAGCGAAAATAGATCTCAAAAACCATCACATTAAGTACCAATATCGCTTGCGTAATTTAAGCATTTTTTAAGAAATTATACTGTATCATTACTCGATTGAGTCATAATGGAAGGCAATAATTTGTAAAGATGTGTGCCTTCCTGATAGTGGGCTATTTGTTTATCGGTATTAAATTAAGGCTTTCAAACTTGATGTATGGCTTGGCAAATATACACAGAAGCCTCTGTCTAAAATAGTACGTAGTATAATGTATTTATGTACAAAAATGTTTAAGAAAACTAAACAATATCCAGTTATAAATAGTGCTAAAAGTATTCATCATCATCATCAGAATATCGTAACTCACTGCTGAGCAAAGGCCTCTTCTTGCATGGAGAAAATTCAAGCATTAATCATCACGCTTGCTCATGACGGGTTGGTGATTTCAAACTTATAATTTAAAATTATAAGTCCAGGTATCCTCGCAATGATTATATTAATTAAATATAAAACAATCAAAAAGAAAGATGTTAAAACCTAATTAAAATTAATTATAGGCATTTTTTCAAATTTAAACACAAGAACTTAAGGTCCCAACGAGAAATATCGGAAAACAAACGAAATATAACAATTCAATATATTAAAATTGTTCTTTGGCTAAAAGTATCGCCTAAAAGAAATTATCAAACACAAAATCAATCATGCGCTTCTTATTATTTAATAACGTGATAACTTTCCCACCCAAGACGCTGAGAATAATCGTTTATCTGCAAATTGAGCAGTCAACAAAACAAGGTGCGTCTAATACGGCGTAAAATTAAAAACGCGATCCCCATTCCGAGGGAAAAAAATCTGAAGAAAATCATAGGAAAAATATATAAAAAGCATCTGTTGCACAATAAAAGTAACATAACAAGTTAGATATTAATCAATGTGAAGTGTACCCTCCTTACGCGTCAGCGACAAGCCTTTCCGAGGCATTTATCACGTTATTAAAACTTGCTATGCTCACTAAAAAAGATAATTATCTTAGCAACCCTCGTCTTATCCAGGGCTGCTTCATGCTCAATTTGACACCAGTTCCGCACAAATCTCCTTACAACGTATGCGTGAAATCTGTACAGTATAAATTACATTATGAAAACCCTTGAAAATTTGTTAGAATTCCCTTGTTTCTGTAGGTTATTCAATATAATTCTGATCACATATAAGTGAACAATAAAACGTGTTCAGCCCTAAGAGGGTCGGGTCCAGCACATGTTGGCCATCAGTCATCGATGTAGCTGAAAGATGTGATTTTGGACACACACACACACACACACACACACACACACACATAAAGATATTTCATATATATGATCAGTGTGAATGTGTGCGTTAAATGGAATCTTTCATATCAAACTATGTTTTAATATTCGTCTATAAAGAGAATACATTTGTAGATTGCTATAATCATTTTATTTTACATGTATGTATGTATGTTCGCAAGTAACTCCAAAAGTTCGTTTTGGGTGAACCGAAAAAAAAAATAAAAAAAGTCATCCGGAAATTTCAAACGGTAGATATTTTTATTTAGGGAAAAGCGAAGTAAACGACCGCAGTGCAGGTTATTATAAAAATGTGTTTGTAATTTAAACGTACTGCGGTAGATCTCATATTTCTCTCAGAGATCGCAATTTCCCGGTATACTCGGAAAAGCTACAAATGTTCGCGAGCTCGCGTCGGAAAATTACATTTCATAAATTTTAGTGTTGTATTTTTATATTTTATCGATATCGATTATAATTTTATTTTATTCACGTATTCTCGATTCTCTTTTCATATGAAGATTTAGTATTTAATTTTTAATATCGAATAAAACTTTCATATTCATTTAATTCCAATAAATAAATAAAGTTTAATACATTATCGATATAAATATAAAGAGGAGCTTTAATCAAAATTAACATATTGAATAATATACACGTTTTAACAGATCTGTCAAAAAAATTGTATAATATTAAAAGTATCGATACAATTCCCAACACTATCAAGTGAAGAGCGTTCAGTACCGCAGTGGCGGGCATAACGCGTCGTTGGTCGAATCACACGAGTCGTTTCACAAGATAACAATTTGCGGAATTATTTACCATATGCCTGCTCCAAATTGGTTCACATACCTTTGTTATATGTGAATTAATATTATTAGGAAATTCGGTTTTATATTCAAAATATGTATATGAATGCGTGGTATACGATAAATTTTCCATTCAAATTAGCCTAAATAAATGTTGTTCCTGAAAACTAAATGTATGGTATAAAAATCCACCCTCGACAGTAATTCTTGTTAAGACCGTGCGATGTTCCGAGGCACGTTTCCTTAAACAGTCTCCGCTATCAGGCGGAAAAAGTATTACTTCCGACCAGTCAACAGATACTAAACCACACTTTTACAAGGAAACTCTTTTGTTTTATTGCCCCTTTATATGATACGACCAACTTGGACAGGGAAGGAGGGTTTTATTGGAAGAAAATGTAGTTTTATTCCTATTTAACCGGCACTACACTTATCCTATATTGTTAGCGCTAATTTTTATAATCAATTAGATTAGTACTTTTATTTTTGACTGTATTACGAGAATATGTACCTATATTGGCGCTATCGGCTTTCATGACTGATGCAACATGAAAATAATTTGAGCCTATCATTAATTGTATAAAAATTTATTGGTGTTCCTGATTATTGTAAAAAAAAGTAAGACTAAATCAAAGACTATTTAAAAGGAGAATAGAACTATGTTTGAATTTTGGTATAAATATGACTTCTGGACGCACGACAGCAGAGTTCAGTGAGTGCGGGCCATAGAAGAATGGAATTATGAAGAACCTTCGAGAAATACAAGAACATTTAGAACAATTGAAGTTTCATTTTAGAATATTATGGAACGTACTGAAAAGAAGTGATATAAGTGACGTCAGCAATGCTGGCGTTTCTCTTTAAAAACAACGAATTAAATCCGTTATGTACCTATATAACATTAAATTATTATTCTCTTCTAATATATATAATCAACCTAATAAGGGTATAATTTTAAGAATTAAAAGAGTTAAATGAAATACAAGAATATTAAGATTAGGTATAAGGATTAGATAACAAGAGAAGTTTTCTTAGAAATAACTGCTCCATTAAAAAATTGATAAATTAAAGAAATATATATCAGCTATTTCTTTATAAATCTGTCTTTCTATCTGTGTGATAATTATGAATGCATCCTTTATTCGTGTCACGTATATTCTCACGTTCGACAATAAATTAAAAGCGTACAATATCTGACCATTCATTGTCACTTTCCGGGCGAATTACAACGAAATTAGGATAACCATACACTGTCACGTTTTGGACATTAAACGAAGACAAAACTTAATGCCTCCGGTGACAATATATTCACGAACCGGTGCTATCATTGCGCAAAAAAACTAAGATCGTTTTACAATCAATTATATATGTATGGGATTATGATCTGTATATAAGTGGGGTTGGGGTGATATTTGGATGTGGTTTAACTGTGGGTGTGACGGTACCATTGATCTAGTATTACGGGACCCCATTGATTTGAACAATGGCCTATCGTTCAGTGAGCTAGCGATCTCTGTTTCAGCTATTTTGTTGTGACGTAAACAAAGACTAACTGACGTTATCATAAAGTTAATTGACTTGTATTGATAATATATATTATATATGTAAGTTATGTTTTGGTATATTCATGAAATATATTTAAGAATGAGTTAAATGAAATATTTTTTTTTTTGTATTTAAATCGTAATTGAAGTTTTGATTTATCTGTTTCCTGTGAATCATAGACGTAAATGTAATGTTACTAATTATATTATTCTGATAAATAAATATAATAAAAAATAGTTTAATAGAGTTAGAAGAATTAATGAAAAATGGTCTATTTTTTATCAATAATAATTAATGTGTAATGCCTTTTTTATATTTATTTATATTTTGAAAACAAACAGTGCTATTAATAATTATAATTGTTGTACATAATTAAACGTTAAACCAAAACAGTTTCTATAACAAATTATACATAAATAACTTTCAGAGTGTAGAAAGCATATTAACGATTAATGATGATACTTTATTCAATTAAAAATATAAAAGTTATTCATATTTTAATTTTTTAGCTATGAAATCTTACTTTTAAATAATTAAAAG